CCCCAAAACCCCAAAACCCCAAAACCCCTCTTGGAACTCAGAATATAGAATTATTAGTCAATGTTGTCCAGCAGTGCTATCTTGGCCTTTATAGAGTCTATAATCATGTCGTTTACTTCATTCCTTTCTTCATTGGTGTCCTGGTCTAGTAGCTTGAGGTGTTTCTCTTTCCGAAGAGCAAGTTCCTCGATGGTCCTTGCTTTCTCTTTCATGTAATTTATGCGGTCCTCTCCATCGTATTTTCTAATCTCACTTTTCCAATCATTTTGCTTATACTCAGAATGCTCATCAGGTTTGTCTCTATAACTTCTTTTTAAGTAGTCGATCTTGACGAAGCTATTTCTCTGGTTTTGGAGGCTAAACATGACAAAATGTGTCTTACTCCGACTATTCTATTCATCGATCTCCAGTCTGGATCATTCTTTCTGTTTCTTCTGGGGCTACGAGCCTCTACTGAATGATTTCTTTTATAGAGCCCGCTTCTGTCTGAGTTTCTAGTGGAAGATACCTTCTTGGTGATTCTATCATAAGCTCTTGGCTGGATCAAATTCTGCTTGATTAGCTCCATTTCAATTTTCTTTCTCTTGGAGATTTGTGGCTTATAGGTCTCCATGATTACTTTAGAGTAGTTCTTCTTTTTAGTACATAACTCGTTGGACTGACGGCTTTTCTTGAAGATAGCCTCTTTTGCCTTTGCATCTGAGTCAAGCACATTATCTAAGAAGACAGAGTGATACTTCTTATGGTCATAATCACTATCGAGTTTGTACTTATTTTCTCTTTTAGCTTGTTCAATTCTTAATTTTTCTTCGTATTCCTTCTCATGATTAGCGATCTCCAGTGGATCTATGGGTTTCATGAAACTCCGTTTCACTGCTAGCTCCTTTTTGCGCTTCTCAAGCTCTGAAATGGTATAGTCCTCTTCAAATTGCTTCTCAATTTTCTTGTAGAGTGGAATAGGGACTTTCTTGAGATTAGTAACGTAATTATTCTGGTTTTCAAGAATGCGTCTCTTCCTCATCTCCTCTTTCTCCCTTATTTTGATCAACTTCTCATGACGTTGCTTCCTGGCATCTTCTTCGGCTTCGGCTTGACGCTTAGTGAACTGCTGCTCTTGTTTCTGAAGTTTTTCTTTGAGCAAGGCTGGAGGAGATTTAGGATGTAAATACTTACCCCTTTTCTCTTTTTCCTTAAGCTTATTTATACAATCTCTCTTGTTTCATCTTCTTGATAAGCTCATCTGCAACTTTGAGCTGATCTGGATTCTCTGAAACCTTCTTTACAGGATTCTGTAAAATGAGTTATTAGTAGGAATACCTGCTTTCGTCGAAGGACTTCGAGCACCTCCTGAGGGGCTTCTTGCTCCTGTGTTACGAGGAAGTTATTTCACTAAGATTTAAGCAGATATTCTTACCTCGTCTACTACTTCTTGGGAGTAACCTAGCTGGTATGTATCTATGTCTGAGTACTCCTTGCATTTTATAAGTTTCTCAAGGCAGTCTAACTTATTCTTTATTTCTTTTTGGGAAATGCTTTGGCCTTTATTCCTGAGGTTTATTAATGCTTTTTGGAAAGCAGCCTGTCTGTTCTGAACCTCCCAATCCACAGCAACTTCTACAATGATTAATTTGAGATAAAGGATTTTAGGAGTTTTAAGGTAGATATAAGTGAAAACAGCAAGCAGATGAGTTGGTTATAAGGTTCATGTACTTTTGTCTATTGAGATTCATTCATAAAGTGTCCTGGAAAATAGGTAGTTATAGGAATTTACTTGTAATTTTTATGAAGATATAAGAGTTTGGAATATAAAATTAATGCTAATTTTGATAACTGTTAAAATAATTCGTAGTAAGTCAGATAAAGATTTATTTAAAAATCCACACAAAGCTCAGTCCTACCATCCCATTTTCCATACCTTTACAACTCTGTTGATTGCCCACATCAACCACTAAGTCTCCTTTGATGACTTTATTCACAACATCATCAACAGGCTCATTCACTACCTCATCCAACAAATTCCACACTTCTTTCTCCTTATTATCAAACTTCTCAATCATCTGTATCAGCCCATCCTTCCTTTGCTTTTGTCTCTATAAACCCTCATTCAACTGCCACAAACCCCTTAAACCTCTCCAAACTTCCCCGCTTCCTTCCAAAAAACCCTTCCAACCCCTAAAATCCTCTCAAGAATTTTCTAAATTTCCTCTGACTCCACTTTGACTCCAAATTTCCCTAACAATCAAACTTACAAAACTTCTCTTCGACTTCGCCATTATCTAAAAATTTTATGTGATTTTTATTATTTTGAGTGGAATTTAGGGGTTTTGGGGTTTTGGGGTTTTGGGG